CCCCCCCGGGCCGTACCCGCCTGCAGCAGCCCCCGGGCGAGCCCCCCGGCCATCCTGCCCGCGCCCACGAACCCGACCCACAGCTGCGGCTCCTCCATCGCCCCCGGCCCGCGCGGGACACGCCCCCACGCAGAGGCCACGCCCACGCGGGAAACACGCCCATTTAATGGCCACGCCCACCCCACCCCTCCCTCCTATTGGCGGAGCCGCCTTTAAGGGGCGTGGCCCAGCGGAGGGGCCGATCTGCGCAGGCGCGCGAGCGCCACGTGGTTCGTTGGGGGTGATACTGAGGGGGTTCCCGACATGTCGCGATATATCCCGACCCCCCCCTTTCCTCCCCCCTCGGGACATCTGGGAATAACGGGGGGGTGGGAATTTCCCTGTGGGGGAGACCCACCAAATTTGGCCGTGGGGGTGGGGGGGTGTTTCTCACCCTCTTTTCCCCACGGGACCCCCGTGGGCACCCCTGGGACTATGGGGCGTCCCCTCAGTGGGGCGGGTCTCTCAAATTTAGGGTGGGGAGTCCCCAAATTTGTCCATCGATTTGGGAGGGGTTCCGATCACCTTCTCCCCATAGGACCCCCATCAGCACCCCTGGGACGATGGGGAGGGTCCCACAATTTGTCCGTGGGCGTGGGGGGTGTTTTCCACCTTCTTCTCCCCATGGGACCCCCGTGAGCACCCCTGGGACTATGGGGGGGTGTCCCCTCAATGGGGTGGGTGCCCCAAATTTGGGGTGGGGAGTCCCCAAATTTGTCCAGGAATCTGAGGGGCTTCTCCCAACCTTCTCCCCACAGGACCCCCCCCCACATTCCCAGGATGCTGCCCTGGAATTCCCAAGCTCTGCTGCTCCTCTGTGCCGGGATTTTGGGGGGGCTGGGCCTCGCTGCCCCCCCTGAGAAGGTGGGGACCCCCCTCAAGACACCCCAGGTGACAACCAGGGCTGGGAAATTGGGGTCCATGGGATCCCCCACCCCAGGCACCACCTTGCTCGGTGTGGGGGTGGTTTTTTGGGGGTGAAGGTCAAATTCTGGGGGGTTCTCAGGTTTTTTTTCAACCTTTTCACCCCAAACTCCCCCCCCCCCTCCCCCTCGGGACCCCCCACCCTGCGCTGGGAGCACCCCGGGGGGCTCAGGGCTCGTTCTGGGGTGTCTGTGGGCACCTCCATGGGGAGGGTGGGATTTGGGGGGGACTTTAGGGCCAACCCCCGTCACCACCATCCCAAATATTCCCCACAGGAGGAGCTGTGGGAGACCTGGATGAGGTTGGTGGCGCTGGATGAGACCCCTGTGGTCCTGGAGGACGTCGCCCAGCGGATGGGTACGAGTTGGCTCTGGAATGCTGAGACATCCCCCACCTTGGGATCCATCCAAGGATGCTGAGACATCCCCCTGGGTTTGGGATTGATCCAAGGATGTTCAGAATCCCCCTGTGCCACCTTGGGATCGATCCAAGGATGCTGAGACATCCCCCTGGGTTTGGGATTGATCCAAGGACGCTGAGACATCCCCATATCCCACCTTGGGATTGATCCAAGGATGTTCAGAATCCCCCTGTGCCACCTTGGGATTGATCCAAGGATGTCGAGACATCCCCATATCCCACCTTGAGATTGATCCAAGGATGCTGAGAATCCCCATATCCCACCTTGGGATTGATCCAAGGATGCTGAGACATCCCCAGATCCCACCTTGGGATTGATCCAACCTCTTTTCCCTCCTCCCCAGGGAATGGGAGCAGCCAGGGGGCCGCAGGGCTCCGGGAAGGACACCGGGTTGTCCCATCCCACCTCCACCAGGAGCAGGAAAGACCTCGGGATGTTCATCCCCGGCGAGGTGGGGACGCGGCAAACCCCATTCCCGGCTTTTCCCACTTTCCCAGGGCTCATCCCACTGTCGTATCCCTCTTTCCCAGACTCAGGGAATGACCTGCTCCTCCAGCAGGTGATGGAGAAGCTGCAGAGGCTCAACCAGAGCCTGGAGCTGACGCTGGAGGCCTTGGAGGACGCGCGGAGCCGGCTGGAAAACCACCTGGAGCACCTCCAGGCCGTTCCCAGCCCGGATGGTGAGCGGGAAAAGGGGCTGGAGCGCGGGTCGGAGCTGGTGGGTGCCAATCCCAGGCTTTTCCACCCCATCCCACAGGTCAGAGCCCGGGTGCCACCTCCACCCTCGTCCCACACGGCTCCTTCTCGGCGCTGCTGGTTCTTCTCCTGGTGCCGGCGCCGCTCCGGGTGATCCTCCTGCTCCTCTTCCTGGTTTCCAGCGCCCTTGGAATGCCGGAGCTCTCTGCCCTCCTGGTCCTTGCTGTGGCAGGTGGGGACAGCTGTGGGGACTCCTGGCTGGGGACACCCCACCCTGGGGGTGCTCTGCCCTCCTCCCACCACCCTGTGTTCCTGCAGGACGGTGGCTGGTGGCATCCAGAGGGATCCGGCCGGGGTTTTCCCGGGAAAAAGGCCATCACCGGCTCACCTCCACCCCGGAGAGGTAGGAGTGGGTTGAGGGGGTGGGCGTGGCACCCTTGGGAGCTGGTGGGGCCCATCCTGGGTGTCCCATCCTGGATATCCCACCCTTGGTGTCTCACCCTTGGTGTCTCACCCTTGGTGTCCCATCCTGGGTGTCCCATCCTGGGTGTCCCATCCTGGAGCCACTTGGTAGAGGTTTCCAGGATGGGACAGGACAAACATCTTGATGGTTTTCCTATGGATTTTGGGCACCTCATCCCAGCTCCCTGCCCTGTTTCTGCTCAGATATCCCACCCTGGGTGTCCCATCCTTGGTGTCCCATCCTGGAGCCACCTGGTAGAGGTTCCCAGGATGGAACAGGAGAAACGTCTTGATGGCTTTCCAATGGATTTTGGGCACCTATTTCTGCTTGGTTGTCCCCTCCTGGATGTCCCCTCCTGGATATTCCATCCTTGGTGTCCCCTCCTGGATGTTCCATCCTGGAGCCACCTGGTAGAAGTCCCCAGGAAGGGACAGGACAAACATCTTGATGGACATCTTGGTGGCTTTCCTACGGATTTGGGGCACCTCCTGCCAGCTCCCTGCCCTGTTCCTGCTCGGAGAAGGGGTTGGAGAGGCCGGAGAGCTGCTCGTGGACCATCGTGGCGGTGACCCAGGAGCTGATTTTCCATCTTCCCACGCAGGGAATGCGACCTGGAGCTGCTGCAGGAGGAGCTGGACAGGCTGCAGATGAGCTGCGTGCGAGGTGACCGCTCTGGAGCGGGAGGTTGTGGTGATCCCTGGCGTGTTCCCATCCACGCTGGGACATCTGTCATCCCAGAGCGTCCCCAAGCTCTGCCAGGAGCACTGGGGGGGTGTCTCCATGATCTTCCAGAGCCCTCGAACCCGGAGCAGCCCCAGGAGGTGGCCAAGGACGTTCCTGGCGCCGTGGGATGGGAGTCACCCGTTCCTGGTGGCCGGAGGATGAGGCAGAGCTCGGGTGGGGTGAGTGCCCCATGGGATGACCCCAGGGTGGGGTTGTCCCCCCCAAAAAACCTGCTCTTTGGGAAGGGGTTTTGGTCATGGAATCGTGGGATGGGATTGGGGAATGGATTTTGGTTGTAAAGTCATGGGGTGGGTTTGGGGATTTGGGAATGGATTTTGGTCAGGGAATCCTGGGATGGATTTGGGAATGGATTTTGGTCAGGGAATCCTAGGATGGATTTGGGAATGGATTTTGGTCAGGGAATCCTGGGATGGATTTGGGGAATGGATTTTGGTCAGGGAATCATGGGATGGATTTGGGAATGGATTTTGGTCAGGGAATCCTGGGATGGATTTGGGGAATGGATTTTGGTCAGGGAATCCTGGGTTGGATTTGGGAATGGATTTTGGTCAGGGAATCCTGGGATGGATTTGGGAATGGATTTTGGTCAGGGAATCACGGGATGGATTTGGGAATGGATTTTGGTCAGGGAATCATGGGATGGGTTTGGGGATTTGGGAATGGATTTTGGTCATGGAATCATGGGATGGATTTGGGAATGGATTTTGTTCCCAGAATCATGGGATGGATTTGGGGATTTGGGAATGGATTTTGGCCACAGAATCACGGGATGGATCGGAAGGGACTCCTTAACCCCTTCTTCCCCACCAGGCGATGCCGGAGCCGCTCACGGACACCGGGAAGCACCGGGAGCCCAAACCCTTCATCCCGAGGGCCACCACGTGAGCTCCGACCACCCAGGCCGTCCCTTCCCAGGGCTTGGTGTCACCTCAGCGTGCCTGGTGGCCTCCTGGGGGTCCTTACGGGCATCTCCTCTGCAGGTCCCCGTTGTCCCCGCGTTCCCTGTGCCGGGCGCTCACCAGGGCTGGGCAGCGATGCCGGAAGAAAGGAATTCCCGGGAAGGACTTGTGCCACATCCACGCCTCCGGCAGCAGCTTGGCCACGGATTCATCCCCTGCTTTTGACCCTCCACCTCCTCCCTGAGGGGTTTGATCCCCATTTTTTTGGGGACCCTGGCAGAGAACTCATGGATGCTGTTGGATGGGGGTGGGGGGCAGAGGCTCCTCATCTCACCAATTTTTAGGTTATTTGCATATATTTGGTGATTTGCATATATTTTAATAAACGCCACGTTTCCAGCTGGAGTCTTTCCCCACTCTTGCCCCCCTTATCCCGTGGGATCATCCCCACGTGCCACGAGCCAGCAGCGAATCCCCGGCTGCCGTCCCTTGTGTCGTGGAATCCCGATCCCGTTACTAAGGCCTAATTACAGGTAATTAACACAGCTCATTAACAGCTCACCAGCCTCTCGGCCACCACCACCACCACGGTGGCTCCTTCTTACCCCCTAATTCGGGATCCCTTTGGGATGCCCCGACCTTCCTGCCCCTCCCTGCCCCAGGCGTCCCGCGCCGCTCCCGGCACGGGGCAGGAATGTGGGAGCTGCTCCCTGGGCTCCCTGTTTTGTTTTGTTTTTTTTTTTTTTTTCCTTTGGAATTGTCCCTGTCACCCCCCCTCAGCCCCGTCCTCTGCCCCAGCAAAGGACAACCCTGAGTTGGAAGAGGAGGATCCCGGCGATGCCGGGGCCGTCACTTCCTGGCGTCGGCGTAGTTGGCGTCGAACCAGGCACAGGTTTCCTTCACGGCTGGGGAGGGAGAGAGGTG